CATTGTCCTCATACATGAAGCATTGGTGCCACGTTGAAGGAATTATGCCGTTCTCATGGATCCATGGACGACCTAGAAGGAGATTATATGAAGCCTTTACATCAATGACGTGACATAGAGAGTACTTGCTTTCAACCCGCCAATGACCAAATCAAGACGTATCATTCCAATTGCCCTTTGCCCCCGTGATTGAAGCCTTGAATCATTTAGCGGCTTTGGGAGAGTTCATCCATTGATATATCAAGGTCTTTCATGGCTCGAACCGTCAAAATCTTAACGGCAGACCCTTGGTCTATCATAATTCTTCTGAATCTTTGTCCACGAGTGTATCCTTCAACAAAAAGCGGACGATTATGGGGAGTAGCACCCAACATAAGATCTTCGTCTTTAAAGACAATGTCAGTGGCGTATGAAGTAGATTTTTGTGCTCCATCCACTTCTTTCTTAGTTGAAACTGGATATGAACATCTACTTGAGCTCTCAATTTCTTTCTCATGAGTGCTAAGGCAAGAACTCAAAATTTGAGTCAGCTTGTTCTTGAAATCCTTTGGCATATAATCGTTGAGAGTAATCCGCCTTCGTGCAACTTTGGATCGAACATGATCCTTCCTTTGCTTCCTTTTCTTCAATTCATATATCGGTTATTGCCTAACCCATTTCTTTATCACCTTCTTCGGTTGTGGCTTAGGCTCATGACTCTTCCTTTGTTTCTTTTGAGTTACCAAGATCCATGGTCTCCCTTTGTCATCGACATCCTCAAGTGCCATTCTTTTGGTGAGAGGCAGACATCCTTTCATTCCCTTGACAGTAAAAGGGAGCTTATGCTTGTGAGAATTTAGGTCATCGCCAACCATGAGCGGAGCAAACCTGCCAAATGTAATGGTAATTTGGTTTGTGCTTGCTGCAGAATCAGCAAGTTCAATCTTTCCTTTATGAGCCAAAGCCATAATCTTGTCTTTGAACACCCAACACTTCTCTATCGGGTGACTCAACACTCTATGATATTTGCAGTAATTAGGATCATTGACCTTTGTGGCTTCCTCAGGTCGTTTTGACTAAGGTAAATCAACAAGTTTCAACCTTGTCAGTTCATCAAACATTGGAGAAACGTCAGATTCCAAGAAAGGATACTGCTTCTCCATCATCTCTCGCAAAGTCGGCTTGACATGCCCAGAAGTTTCAGGTTCACCTCTGGCAATTTGATTTGCCTTCTCGGTAGTTTGAGTGAAGACTTTGACTGGTGAAGCTTTCACAACCATCACTTCTTTCTTTTCAAATTTAGAGAAGGGTTTGCCCCCTTTCTTGGTATCTTGCTTTTCAGCGGCATTGTTCATGGGATATATGCCCATGGTTTGTCTTCCACTGCTTGTAATGCTCAACTCCATGTTACGAGCTTTGCTTGCTAATTCATCGAAAGTAGTTGGATTCACTCCTTTCAGAATATAACATAACTCCCAATGCATGCCTTCAATGCACATATCAATTGCAGAGTTTGTAGAGATCCGATCTTTGCAGTTGAGGGCAAGTTCCCTCCAGCGTTCGATGTAGGTTATCACGGGCTCATCTTTCCACTGGCGAGTAGTTGTCAACTCAAGCAAACTCACCACCCTCCTTGTGCAATAGAAACAGTTTAGGAACTCACGTTCCATATCATTCCAGCTGTCAATGGAACTGGGCTCCAAGTCAGTATACCAGTCAAATGCATTTGCTTTCAATGAGTGCACGAACTGTTTGACAAGGTGATCTCCGCTTGTTCCCGCATTATTGCAAGTCTCCACAAAATGGGCGATATGTTGTCTCGGATTTCCCTTTCCATCAAATTGGATGAACTTCGGCGGCTGATATCCAATGGGCATTTTTGAATCCTCGATCCTTTGAGTGTATGGCTTAACATAAGAGTAAGTAGATTGCTTTCCTTCTATCTTCCCCTTTATGGTTCCCATGATGAAGTCTTTGAGTTGATCAATCAGGATCATGCCCTCAGAGGTTGAGATGTTCTTTCCTGAATCCTCTTGGTGAGAATCATTGTCTTCATGCACTTCGGGATCCTTCCCATGAGCATGACTTGACTCGCCTTTCAAGCTTTCTACTTTGCTGTTCAGATCATTCAGCTTCTGATCTTGATCTTGCATGAACATACTCGTCCCCTCGATTACCTTAGTTAGATGGGTGATTTGTTCTTCCATAGATGTGGTGCTTGTTGTCATAGTGGGCATCACGGTGTAGACATTTGACCACTGCGGAGTAGTTCTTTGTGGAGAAGTTGACTGAGAAGTAGAGTCTGAATCAGATGATGAGCTTTCAACACCGCTTGTCCATTTCGGGGAAGTAACTTCACGTATGGATGAAGAAAGCTTCTGGGCCATCTCTTGCACAATTTGAAATCCATCCATCGCACCGGGAGTAGTTCTCGAAGATGAATGCGCAGCTAGGATTCTTGATCGGCTCCTAGTGATGGGGCCTTGCATGTTTTGATTCGAGCTTGATGATGCTCGAGAATTCAAAGTGAACACGGTTTGCTTGATGCCATGGGTTCATTCTCAAAAGTGAAGAGATGAGAGGTAGAGATGTCCCACAGGGCGTGCCAAAAATTTGTGAAACAAATTTTAAGTATTTACTTAAAAGTGATCGCAAATAATAATATATGAGAATATTGGGTACAATCTCTAAATATGAATCCTCTGATTCTTCACTTGCAATTTGAAATAAATATAATTAAAGAATTTAATTAAAAATTAAATTTTTAATCTTTCAAACATTTGAACGTTCTTCAGATCTTCAAATCTTCGTTCTTGAGATCTTCGAATCTTCGAATCTTCATTCGTTGGGTCTTCAAATCTTCTTGAATGAAGAATTCAGCTTGAAGGGCTTCCGGTTTTCAAGTGACTTGATCTTCAACAAAAGGGTCGTTTTATGGCTTGATCTTCTGTTTAAGGGCCTCCCGGGATATATGGCTTGATCTTCAATTGAATTTCAACTCAATCTTCATATGAATATCTTCAAATCTTCAAAGATTCGTTCTTCATATCTTCGAATCTTCAAAGTCTTGTTCTTCAGATCTTCGAATCTTCAAGCTTTGTTCTTCAGATCTTCGAACGTTCTTCAACTTTTGGATTTATTTTATCAAGAATCGACGAAATCACAAAGGATTATTCATATATTCTTAATAAAATTTGTGGCTTGATCTCTTCCTCTTTTTCAGAATCGTTCAGAGCCTCTCGGGAGTTCTTGAGAGCTTTTCTGCAGCGTTTCTTCGTCTGAAAATTCTCTCCTTCTTCCTCTCAACTGAGACGCCTATTTATAGGTGTGGAGGGGATAAAATATGGCCTGGGGTTGCAGAAATTTGTCCATACCTCTTGGGCCTTAGTTAAAATGGGTTGCTGGCTCCATTTGCTTTCATTTTAATAGCTAGAAAAATCAGCATTTATGCAATGTATCTGGGCAGCTTTTTTAACAAGGTTCATGTCTATTTTCTATGCATATGGAAGGATTTTTTAGCCAGATTCGTTGTCCTCTTTATCAATTGGATCATGTTTCTTATTATATATTAGGCCGCTACTTGATAATGGGCTCAAAATAGGGAAATTAATAGTATCAGTTCATTAATTTCGAAGAATTAAATTAATTGGATATTCAAATGATCCGAATTAATTAAATTATATGTGAATGGATCCATAATAATATTTTCCTTTTGACAAAGCCCAACAACTATTACGAGCAGTCCAGTAGAATCCGATTTTGACAGTGACCCAATAAGATATAATATAGTCCGATAGCATTTAAGAGACCTTGATAACTGCCGTAATTGGGCCAATAATTTTTATATGTCCACAACTGGTAAAAATATACATTAATTGATATTTTCATCTTAATTTATTCTATCATTACTCTAACAATTTTAGCAAATTCAATCAATTCGATTATTCTAGATGAAACCATTTTTACCAAAGAGACAAAAAATTGTTTTTTTTATCCCGGAGTAAACTACTCATGGTGGAGGAAGTGTCGGGAACACTTCACTAATTTATTATAAAAAGGATAATAAAAGAAAAACTTGTTCTAATAAAGTGAACATGACATGTTAAAAAAGAAATGGAAAGGGAGAGCAGAAGTTGTTGGCAGGACTAGGCATGGACCGGGCCCGAGTCAGGCCAGGCTCCGGGCCGGTTCAAGCCGGGCTTTTTTCCAGGATGTTGGGCCCGGAACCGGCCCGGGTTGATACCGGGTCCGGGCCGGTTATAACCGGTTGGGTCCAGAGGCGGATCTGGCACAGGGCCAGGGAGGGTCTAGGCCCCACCTCAAAAAAAAAGAAATTACTAGTATATATACTGTACTACATTTTGACATTTTATATAATATACGTTATTTGATTAAATTTTGGCCCCACCTGAACGTAAATGCTAGATCCGCCCCTGGTTGGGTCCATCCCTAGGCAGGATGAGGTAAATATATCGACACACAACTCCAATATTTTTTCCTCTTCCTATATGTTATTTTACCAAACATTTTTATTTTAAGAAAATTCAGCATATTTAGCCAAATAACAATGAGGTAACTCCTCAAATAGGATAAATACAGAGGAAATGCAAAAATAGGAGTAGATTATTAAAATTCCCTAAATAGGAATATTATTTGAAGCTTACACAATGATAGCTCTACGGGAGTTGCTGCTAGGGCAGGCACCAATCACCAGCCACCGGAATATACCGAAAATTTACAAAATGAATTTGTCATCGCCGCCGGGAATCACCTGGTGCCCCAAGAGGGCTCGAATGAAAGACCCAATCCTACATGTACATGGACCATCCTACAAATTCATCATGGGCCTGTTTCGATGAAAGCCCACAAAAGGGAACAAGCCTACCCATCATCAAAGCAAGCCCAAATGCTTGAATGACCTCATTGCCATTTCATCCCTCTCCTTTCAGTCGAGTATCCTGAAACCTCTAGAAAACTAGTTTCTAACCCGGTTATGCAAGGAAACTAAGGGATCAATTAGATTATTAAGAATAGAAGATTAATTTTTAGTCCTATTTAGGAAAAAAATTATGTTGGACTCCTATACAAAGAAAAGGCATATGTAATGTATTTACTCCTAGTAAGGGCAATTACTTAATATTTAATAACAATCCATCAAAGAACTGGCGCCCAAAGACAGCGCCCAAATACGGTACATAATGCCTTGTCTGGGTGCCACTTCTTAGAAATGGTACACCTAAATTCACATTGTCATATAACTTCTAATATTTCCATACAGCACAACACTCTTACATATTCCCCTACAACATATAAAAAAAATGAATTGAGTGGAACACGTTGGCTCAAGATCAACTTCTCCCAGCGAAACAGACAACTTCATCACCACCTTTCTCCTTCCCCGCAGTTGCTCATCTCACTCCGATTTTTAGAAGACAAGAAGACAACAGTGATTCTTTGACTAACGAATAGGATGGTACTGGGCTGAGACTCGCTTCGGAGGCAGTTTACGCAGGATGTAGAGAACTAGAGCTGAAGGCAGAATCTCCACCACCTGATTATTTATTTATTTATCCATAGTAGGAGCATCATTAGTACAAAGATTATAACTATCAGAAATCAGAGGGATGAGAGTGAATATGATATCGAAGAACATAGAAGAACAACTGATTTGGATAATTACCAGGTAATATATCAAGTTCAACATTGGGTGGTCCAGAACATCAAGTGATGCATCAGAATCAAATGTAGACAACACAACCTGCCATGGTGAGATTAAGAGGAAAGCTTGAGACTAATATAACTGTTCATTCAACAAAAATTGATTAATTACAACTTAGGGAATATTAGAAATTATTTAAAGGCTATGCTGAGAAGACGAAAGTTAGACTATGTTTGAAGCCTTACCACAAAGCATCTGATCACAAAACAGGTGAAACATATGGCTGTCACAGATCCAACCTGCAAATCATTTATTCAAAACACACGGTGGCGGTGATCCCTTAATTATGAACATTGGGGAATATAATTTAATATAGGTCAATTTCAATATTATACTCCCTCCATCCCATAAAACTTGGCCAAATTTCCTTTTTTGGTCATCCCAAATTTTTTTGCCATTTCCGTTTAAAGGAATATGTGGCTAAAGTTATTTCTCTCTCCTCTGCACAAATTTCAACCACATGATTTTACTTTATTAATCTACGTGCAAGTCAACTTTCGCCAAGTTTTGTGGGACTGAGGGAGAATTAAATTGATGTTTTGTTCTAAACGCACAACCTTATAGGAAGAGTAGTCAATGTCTTTGTATGGTTTACATTTGGGCAAAACAAGAAGCCTCACATGCCCGCAAGACAGTGATTTACAAAAGTAGACTGATCTTGAAAACCATGAACTCTTTTGAAGCCTTAGTAGAATCGGTTGCTAATTTAAGCTTAGTAATGTACTTTGATACCATATTAAGACTATTCACTATTGCATGTTTCTACTTAATTATGTCTGAATATCCAACACCATATTTAGACTTGAGATTTCATGCCGACTTACCAAGATTGAATTGCTAGTTGAAGCTTATGAAGCTTAATCCCATATTAATATTTGCAGTCATGTCTTAGATGAACTAGCCCATAGATTTGTTTGTGTTTTTACATTTGAAGTTTTGAACAATGTGAATGACATAACATATTAAACCAATGCCATTAATAAGATACACACAGTAGTCATGCAAATATGCAATATAATTATATAATAAATGTGACTGTATGTGGACGAACCTCATGAAGTTTCTTTCTTCTTCCTTTGGATTCAATAGGAAAGCGTCTCAACATGAAAAAAAGCCTTACACCACCAACAAAGTAAACCCAGAGGAACAAATTAATTATTATATAAGTAATAACTGATCTTAAACACCCAATAAGATAAAAATTGTGACTCTGAAAGGCTGCCCCAGTTACTCACCTTCCCCCATACAGCAAAAACCCCAATGCTGCCACTGATGAAACAACTGCACATGGTAAAAAGGTAATAAACAAATATATCAAACAACTAGCAAGACACAAAAAGTGGTGTAAAAAACTGTAAAAACATACCTGCTATAAAGATATTCCCAATTACACGCATGGCACTATTATCATTAAACCAGAGATACACCCATATACCAGACTGTATGACGTATATTACAGCATTTATTGATACATAAAAGGTTTTGAGCTTATCAGTTGGCAAACTTCTAGCCTGCTCATATGTACAGGCATGTGAGTTAGGTATGACTTTTCTACATTAGTTAAAGAGAGAAGAACATCTAAAAATAGAAAGAGCGATAATCTTGCCTGGTGATATATCTCAGCCCAAAACAGGACCAGAAGTGTATATGTGGAGAAGAAAAGCAATCCAGGAACGTCTAATAGTGCAATAGTAAGCACCTGATTGAAATAGGAAGTCAAACAGACAAAGTTATGGAATGTTCATGCCAGGAATGTCCAACTCTTTTCCTATCATAAACAAACATTATTTAAAAGTGGAAAGCTATGTTATTTGTAACTTGAATACAAAATCATATTCTTTCCTTGGTTAAACCAAGAACATGATTAAGTATGACTAATGTAGGGAATATATGGTACGAAGTACCCAATGACTTGATAAAAAGAGAAGATAACATCAATATTAATTGTATAGAAATTCGAGAGATCTTTTTGTGGGTGGAATCAATTACCTTGGGATGGAAAAGAAATGCTTTTTTGTGAAAACCGAAGACCACAGAACGGACTGAAACATAGAGATATACAGACAAAAATTAAACTAGAGCAATAGAATAGGTCAAAATATGTTAGCGCGATACTTCACCTCCATTTACGATGGAGTTCATGAGATGAAAAACCTTTTGTATTGTCCATCCATACCCAGGCACTCTCATCTGAATTCTTATCAATTGAATCTGCACAATGAACTCAAATATTCATTCAGAGACTAAGGCTATGTTTGGAACACCCAAATAATTGTAAAACCACATGCAAAATCCAAATCAAATGGACTTCACAATGAAAAGCAACTGTGTAATCCCAAGAAGCAATCTTAGGGTTTGTTTGGTTTTGGGATTTCAGAGCGAAGGGAAAGGATTGATTTAAATTTCACAATTATCTGTATTTCTTAGACTTAGATTAAAAATACTACGGAGTATTTAATAAATTAGATAATGTATGTCTATACAGTTTTTTATCGTCACTTCACTTTCTACCTTCAAAACGTAAACATAATTACAAAAATATTATATCAGTCATCGCATTCCCTTAAACCTGAAATCCACAATCCATACATGCCCTCACAAAAAACAGATATTTTCTGTCTTCTTCCGATTACATTTGAACTATTTTTCCCCTAATTAAAAATTTTGTAATATGAAAGTAAACAAGTCCAATCTAGTAGCAAATACAAAATGGCTGTTCTTCAACCAGCATATGACTGAGCATGAATAAAATGTTTGTGAATTGAGCAGGTAGTGTAGTAGATACATACAAGGGCAACAATAGATACGAGGGCATATGTAGCACATAGAGAGTAAAAGATCCCATCTTGCCATTCAACTGATCCGTTGATCTTATTCCACCAGTTCGGCGTCAACGATGAAACGCTACCGGCCAGAGACTTCAGAACCAGTTTTCTCATACCTGCTTTTTCCTATCCCCTTTCAGCTGTAGAGGTCAAAAATCAAGAAAACGGAGAAAACAAAGGAGAAAGAAAGAGAAATCAACTATGGGATAATAGATGATACTGCTGCCTTACTTGTTTCTGAATCTCTCACCTAATGCCGGAGGCAGACGCTGGCTGAGCTACTCTCGGAAATATCGTCTGATTCGAATATTTTATGTTCCCGGTCTACCAAGTTCTTGGAGTCCATACGCAATTGTTTTTCCTCTTTACCAAGTTTTGTACAAGTGCACGGAAAACGTGGATACCAGGTTCGGGCAAAGAATATCTCATGACCAACTCCATCAAGTAGACTAAAAAAATAAGGAGTAGCAAAGTTGCATTATAAGTAGAACATAAAAAGTTTAGGGTGTGTTTATTAATAGATATATTTTTCACTTTTTTATTTCTGTTTTTCGTTCTCCGGTTTTCTGTTTTCATTTTCCAATTTTTCTATCTCCATTTTTCTGTTTTCACTTTTTAGTTTTCCATTTTCAAATATGAAAATAAGTTCATCACATTTTTTCATCCGGTTCTGTGACCGACAAAATGACCGAAAGTACGGTCCCAATTCAGAACTGAACCTAGTACAACCCAAGTAGGGTACCAGGTCACGCGTATAGGAAAGTCAGGACTGAAATTGGCATATCCTGATCGATCTCAACGGTTAGTTTGACGAATTCTTTTCCCATTTTCCTATTGATTGACAACTCAACGGCTTTTTTAAAACTTTTCACTTTAAAAAATGATTTTAAGAAACCGAGACTTAATTGTCGGGTCATTGACCGACCCAGACAGGGACCGCCGCGTTGTTGATGAGACTGGCTTGAGACCGTTTGGTTGCCGATCAGACCGAACACATACCGTCCAGTCATTGGCCAAACACATATGGGATGTATTGTTTTTATATTGCTTTAGTTTTATAGTGTTTGGGCCCATGGCTTCTTTATTGTACACATACTTGTATAAATACTCTTACAATTGTTAATAGAGTTGAGGAGAATAAATATACCCTAATTAATTCACTCGTTTCCAGCATGGTATTAGAGTCGTGAAAGGCTTGCACAAGACAACAACGGCTTCTCTCGTCCGCATGTCAGCACCAATGTGACTTGACTCGGCGGACACCGGAGACACAACCTCACCGTACTAGCTAGGCTCGGGTGACCAGCCTAGGAATCTTATCACTCATGTGATATTCAAGGGAGATAATTATGTGGTTTGGTCGCGTGCCATCGCTCTCTCCTTGAAGGCTCGCCAGAAATACGGATTCGTTAATGGCACAGTTAAACAACCGACTGATGTGGCAAATAAAATGGATTGGGACACCGTTAATTTCATGGTGGTCTCATGGTTGTTGAGGAGTATGGAGCCGATAGTGGCGGCGTCCATACCCTTTCATGACGAAGCACGGACGTTGTGGGTCAACCTGGAGAAGCGAAGTAGTGTTGCGAATAGCCCTCGATTACAGCAGTTGCGTGCGTCAATCACAGAATGTAAACAGAGCACGTCCATGACCGTAGATTCCTAGTACACGACTCTCGTGGGGCTGTACAATGAATTATACTGACTAAAAGCCTTACACACCTGCTTGTGTGGGCCGTGCACTTGCAACGTGGTTGGGAAATTTGCTGCCGACCTTGAGGAAGAACAGTTACATCAATTCCTTATTGGTATAGATGACGAATTTTATGGGACGATGTGGTCTAACCTCTTGTCTCATACACCTTTCCCCGATCTCAATCGCGATCACCAAGCGTTTTTGCAAGAAGAAAATTCATGTGTCATAGCTCGTGGGAAGACCACATCGTCGGCAGAAGTGCATGCGTTTGCTCTCAAGGTTGATCAGGCTGCCCAGAGGATGAGAAGATAGGAAAGACCATCCTGGACCCGTATGTACTCACTGTAAGCAGAAGGGGCATGAGGCGGCTACATGTTTTAAATTACACGGATACCCGAACTGATGTGATGAAAGAAACCGTACTAAGGGACATGCCGCTGGTCATGCAAGCTGGGGGGGGGTATTTGGACTCATGTTGTGGTACGGACACTAACTCCTCATGACGTGGGTAGTTCTTCTTCTGGCAGTGAAACAAATGATTTGGCTACATTGAGTAAGGAGCAAATTCAGGCTCTTTTAAATTTGATTAATGTTGATACTCATTCTTGTGACCATATGTCGGGTAAGAATTCTTCTCTTCTTAATTGGATGATTGCAACTGGAGCATCGCATCATGTCACGGGTGACCCTGCGTGTCTTGTTAATCCCACACGTGTTGATGCTTGTCCACTTGGGCCGCCAGATGGTAGAAAAGTTGCCACCCTCCAAGGATCTTACTCTTGAGCACGTTCTCTATGTGCCAGGATTGAATTGTCATCTTATATTTGTTTCCTAGATGAGTGATCAATTTGCATGTCTTGTCACATTTTCTAATACACTTTGTGCTATACAGGACCTACACTCGAGGAACCTGATTGGAGCCGGTGAGAGGCGAGATGAGCTGTTTTATTTTACTTTATATGCGGTTCAAGGGGGGTCTTAGCGGAGTTTGAATTGTGGCATCGTCGTTTGGGTCATCCTTCATATCGGGTCCTTAAATTGTTGTCTCATATTACTACTAGTTATTCTCAAAAGAAATTGAATAAAGCTTGTGAAGTTTGTCCACAAGTCAAACAAGCTAAGTATGTGATTCTTTTTCTCTTAATAATAATAAAGCTAGTTGGAATCTTGAATTAATCCATTGTAATTTGCGGGGACCTTATAAAACCACATCTACTTGTGACACTATTTATTTTCTTACACTTGTTAATGATTACTCGCAGGCTGTATGAGTTTATTTACTTCGTGACAAAAAGGAGGTTCACAAGTATTTTCTGTCATTCCTTGCTATAGTTGAAAAACACTATATTGTGACGGTCAAAGTTTTGCGTAGTGATCATGGGACAGAATTCAAATGCATGTTGCCTCACTTTGATGCTCATGGGATTTTGTTTCAGGCCTCATGTATCCATACACCCCAACAAAATGGGAGAGTGAAGCGCAAACACTGGCATATTTTAAATGTAGCACGTGCCTTGATGTTTCAAGCTCATTTACCTGTGCGATTATGGGGAAAATGTGTCCTCACGACAGTTTACCTCATTAATTGCACACTATCGGGTCTATTGGGGGGAAGACTCCTCATGAAGTTCTTACCAACGTGATTTCGATGATTTCTCATTTACACATTTTTGGGTGCCTTTGATTCCCACATAACTATCGATCTAGAGGAGATAAATTCTCTCCCACAGCCGAAAATGTGTGTTTGTTGGCTATCCGCATCGTAAAAAGGGTTGGAAGTTATACGACTGGAACACGTGTGATATTTTTGTCTCTCGTGATGTCCAATTTCATGAGGATGAATTTCCATTTCTATCATCGGCATCACTCACTCCATCTTCCGACACTACAGGTGATACGCTTCTAGCAGGGGATACATCACTTATTATTGACACGGGCGAGGCTTTTGTGGATTCTGCTACGCATACCACAAAGTCTGATGCTCTTATTCCACCACCAACTACTGTCAAGGAGGCTCCCCCCTTGAGCGACATAGCTATTGCCCAGGAGATTCCTCCTCTCTTGGGACGAGGTCTCCGATCCAAGCTGGCCTCTGTTTTGCTACGTGACTTTGTTACAAAAATTGAGCCCATCTATGCCGATACCCGTCTATGTCAGTTCCTCAGGTATGCCTTATCTGATAGCTCATTTTATAAAATGTGACAAGTTTTCTTCCAGTCATCGAACTTTTCTTGGAGCTATACTTGCAGGTCAGGAACCCTCGCTCTTTCAGAGAGGCTATGACCGACATGGGATGTCGTCAAGCCATGCAGTGTGAGATTCAGGCTCTAAAAAATAATAATACTTGGGTTATTCAGCAACTTCCCCCAGGTAAAAAGACGTCGGGATATAAGTGAGTTTACAAAATTAAATATCACCCTGATGGCACTGTTGAGAGCCTCAAAGCGCGGCTTGTTGTTTTCAGCAATCATCGAAAGGAAGGCATTGATTACACCGAAACCTTTGCATCCGTGGCTAAGATGTCATAGTTCGGGCTTTCTTAGAGCATCCCCAATGCTCTGATTTCTAGTCTAAATAAATTATGCCAAATGTCAAGTTATGATTAGGCTTTCTAATTAAAGTGGAATGACTAGACAATAAAATAGAAAAAAGCCTCCAATGTATGTAGTCTTATGGCCCGATCAATGGCCCATGTGGAATATTATTAATTAATTACAATAAACTACATACTCCACAACCTACCATGTATTTCATCTTCATATTTCCGTTTTGCATCAGATATACGGAGTATAATTTACATACGTACCGTACCTAAATATATATACACAATACCTATATATATACACACATATATGACAAATCCTTCTTCTTCATTGATTAATATACGTACAAGGCTACAAGGAGTATATATATATAAGGAGCGTATCAGCTGAGAAGTGCTCTTAGGCTGAGAAGCTGCGAAAGCTAACTTATAAGCAAAAAGCACGAACTTTTAATCAAAAAATCATAACTTATAGACCCCCTCAAAAACACGAACTTTATGCAAAAAAAAATTTCAGGTTTCTGTAGTTATTTTGACGCGGTGACATTTTCGTAATTATTTTGGAGGGGGTCTATATATAAGTTATGAATTATTGGTTAAAAGTTCGTGTTTTGAGCTTATAAGTTAGATTTCGCAGCTTCTCAACCTAAGGGGGACTTCTCACATGATCTTTTCACTATATATATATATATATATAGGGGAGAGTTCAAATACAAAGAGGTCTTCCCATGCAAAGTGAGAATTAATCTCGTGCGTTCATTTTGAGATCTAGTGGCTCAAAATGAGCCAAAAGTAAACTAAATTTGATCAAAAACGCGGTGATAATTTCGTAATTAAAACAAAGTTTTTTGCCATCGCGAAAAAGTGCAACAGAAACACGCAAAAGTGCAACGCGGTGAAGAAAAAGTGCAATTGTTCGCACTTTGCACGGGAGAACCTCTTTTTATTTGATCTCTTCCCTATATATATATATATATATATATATATATATATATATATATATATATATATATATATATATTACAAACCAAATAAAGAATTAGATAAACAAATACACACAGATACATCATTGGCACGCACTCACGTAGTGTAATGTATAGCTAAGGTTAGATTTGAATACTGCTTCACTAGTTTATTTAAGTTACTCGTATTATTTAAGTTTATTTAAGTTATTAAAAACTATGTGAAACCAGATCTGATCTTTGGCAAAGAGACGGAGGTTATATGGGTTTTTATTTCCTTCCCAATAAATAAAAGGTAGATTCTATGGTACCCATTAGGTACCATACCTTTGTCCACATGGACCAATGAGAATGTAGTAGTTGAATTATTTAAATCTAAATTAAAAATGATAAAGTGGTGTGGTCCAATCAAATAAATGGTAGGTACGGTACCCCATTTTTTAGAAAGGTACCAGAGTTGTCACCTAAATAAAACGGATGAGTCAGCAAGTTTCTATGCCTTTCCACACTAGGAAATTCACCCTTCACGCTGTGCACTTTTTTTTTGACAACTAAGCAAGAGACTACATGCATCGGAAGCAAAAAGAAGTAAATAGTGTCTAATTTATTGACGTGGCAAAGCAAACCTAGACTAAAGACAACCCCATTGCGGTTGCTCTCAGCAGTAAGCGCAACTAAGAACGGGAAATTGCACCAAAATAGAAGTTCACAATGCCTTTCTTCATGGCAACGAAGAAGTCTACATGAAATCGTCTCCCGATTTTTACTCCTCTCGGCCTAGGTTTGGGAAATTCGGCAAGTGTTTTTGGTAAGTGTTTCATCTATGCTCGCCGCCTCGCCCCATGGATTCACAGCCGGCTTACCAACGAGAGATGTCTCTTGCAACCGCCAGAGAAGATAATTGCATCGTGGCTGACCAGATGGATGTTGACCAGACGGATGTTGACCAACCGGAGTCATCTCTTTCAATCGCCAGAAAAGAAGGGTGCACCGCAGGTTGACCTGGCCTGTGCGCCTGTCGAACTCCTAGCTTCCCACAATCTTCGTCGCTACCGGCCACTCATTCAACTCTGGAGCCTGCAATTCCTGTGAGGCTATCCCTTTCATGTTCATATTTTCAATTTTCTCTCCCCATTCATTCTCATCCAACCTCAATTCCTTCTAAATAATTTCCATATGACGGAGAAAGAACTACCCTAAAGAAGTCCACGGAGGTTAGCATGAGCGGCAGAGAAGCGGTGGAGAAGGGCAGCGAAGCTCGAACAATCTGCCAATTGTAGAAGAAAAGAACTTTTGGTGAAATTGGGGTGGGCGGAGATTGTGAAGTAGGGCGGTGAACTCATCGGGGAAAGGGGCAGTGGTGGTTGCAGTCGCGGTGGTGGACGCGGTCATCATGAGGCAAACCTTGAATCCCGTGTTTGAACTGCATCTATGCGGATGGAAAGAAACGGGAAAAGGAAGGAAAGACAAAACGTAAAGAGAAAAAGCAAAGAGAAAATATTGAGAAAGGGAAAACGAAAAAAGAAAAGTAATTCCACGTGGTTGCCACATGGGCCATTAACCGGGTAACGAGTTTTTTACCGGCTGAAATGCCTAATTGAACCATTTTTAAGAATTTGAGGCTTCAATTTGGGTGTTTTTAAAGTGCTAGGGACTACTCGACGTTTTGGCTACGGTACGATGCTAATTTGATAGTTTTCCCCAAAAATGATTCAGATCCTAAATTGATAGTTTTTCATAATTCGAGTCCTATATCGATACATTTCATCTTTCATGTTTTCGATTAATGATTCGTTTATCTTTCATATCCTGAATTGATATAATTTATATATTTTTTTGAGGGAATAAAATTTATATTTTTAAGAGAGAATTCCTAAATAGGAGTAAAAAAGTTTTGAAATTCCAAAATAGGAGTACCATGTTTTTTATTTCTACCATGTTTTGTTTGAGGGAATAAAATTTATATTTTTAAGAGAGAATTCCCTAAATAGGAGTAAAAAAGTTTTGAAATTCCAAAATAGGAGTAAATTTCTGCCAAGTTTGGCATTACTATGCTTTAAAACATGGCATTTTTTTTAAACTTGACTGATTACTCCTATTCAGGTAATAAAAAACATGATACACTTATTTTGGAATTTCAAAACGTTTTTGCTCCTATTTAGAGCAATTTCTATATTTTTAATGACTATACATGGCAAGAGTAAACTTCAAAATTGGTGGAGTAGAAAAGGCTTTGGTCCAACAATTAGATACAAAAAAATAATTATCTGGGTGAGTAAATTATCGCGGTAAAAAACCTTCATGACAAAAAAACTTTTTTTTCTCTACTACTCCGTACTAGATAACGAACTTATCTATCCTTTTTGCTGGTTCCAAGAACGCAATACATACGGCTCTCGAATTAATTGATTTTGTGAGTAACTTTTTTATAAGCAGGCATGAAAAGAGCATTGTTTCGAATAATAATTTATAAATTTCTTCGATGGCATTGTTTTTTGGAACTACAATCTACATTTGAAAACCACCAAATTTCATCAACTCGCCCCATTTGTAAAGGCCAACTGGAATGCATGCATTTATCTTTTCTTATGGCTTTAAATATTTCAAAGTAATCATTTTCATTTCCATCATTTTCGTTTACCCAGTGCCGCAAATTCTCCTGCCTAGGGTGGGGTAAGGGGGTTATGGCTTTAAATATTTCAAAGCAATGAATTAAGATAATCTTCAAGCTTTTGTCTTTCTGGATTATATAAAGAAATGGAATCCCCTGAAAAAATTTGTTGTTATTATTGATGCAGGATTTCTCATTCAGATCAATAAAAAATGAGGAGGAATCCCCTGAAAAGTTCTAAAAGTTCTGTGAATGAGGCAGGGACTTCTAGTCGATATGATGATTCAGCCCTTGCTTCCATTGCGAGAAGCATTTCTATGAGATCAGGTCACATATATTTGTTTTTTTAATTAAGTAACTCTCTAATTAAATTTACAGGAATCCACGGTATTCCATTTTATGCATTTGCTTTCATATAATCCCATCCCATTTTCAACGAAAAAGGGACAAAAATATTATCTTTAGGTTTTGAAATCTAAAAAAGGACTAATTTTATTTTTCCAAAATTATGACAAATCATTGTAATGTTAACTCAAATTTCCTCTTCTTATAATCTCTACTATCTAATCTCTTTCCCCAGCTCCGCCACCCCTACCCAACTGTCGGCAGACACCTCTGCCTGAAACCGCCACCCGATAAGCTACCATAGTTTTTGGCAGGAGCTTTTTCCGTTTTTTCAAATTTTTAAGTTCATTAGAAAAGGATGTTGTAAATTTTTCTCCAACTATTAGTGACATCTGTAATAATTATTAGTGACATCTGCAATAATTATTAGTGACAAAATACACTACCAATGACATAAAAACTGACAATGACATCATGTTTTTCAAATTTATTATCTTGTGACTCACATTTTTATCTATATCTACAAGTATTCACTCTTTTGGAACTGAACTTCAATTTAGTCATGTTTATGAAAAAACCATGTTTTTTATTTGCATAGTTGTGTTGATTCTTGCCCCCTTTAAGTGGAGAATAGTATGTGATAACTTAGGTAGAATTTCAAGTAGTATCATGGGATTAACATTTCAATACACTTGGTGTTCTAATTTGCTTCATTTAATAGTTGAGGCACCAAAATCCATCAATATAATTTTTTATGGTACTATTGCGCTATTATCCTTGATATACAGTACTCCCTACATCCCATAAAGGTTAGCCAATTTTAACTTGCACATGAAATAACAAAGTAAAAATTGTGTGGTTAATATTTTTGTGGATAAAAAGATTGGGAAATTTGGTAAGAGTTTTAGGACAAGTAAAGTATTAAACTAGTCTTATTCTTATCCAAAACATTACGAATTGTAGTTCATTAAAATGTCCTTCCTTTTTATTGTATACTTTGTATATAGGAATATTTGGGTATAGTTGTTGACGGAGATTAACTCAAGTAACTTTGTTTGATTTGATGAACTAACAAAAATAAAGATGTATGTGATGAATGAAAGGTGCAGGGGTGAGCAAGCGAAAAATGATAGCTGAAGACATTCTTCGGTTTGGAGAGATGAAAGTTGCAGCAGAACTATTCACATTTCACGAACTGGCCAAAGCAACAGACAATTTCAACCCGGAGTTGCTAGTGGGAGAAGGAGGGTTTGGGAGGGTATACAAAGGACATATAAGAAGAACTAAACAAGTAATCCTATTTTCAGCTTATCACTCATTTTTGGATTCAAGTAATTTCATTTTAACTAATCTGTATTTAATTTTTTCTTTATTTTATAAATGAAATATATTTTAAATATAATTTTTTCCATAATTCAGTAGATTCGATCAATTTAGCCATTACGGTCAGAATTTCATGAACTTCAACAGATTAAGTGCGGCCAATTACAGTGTTACCAAATGGGTTTTGAATGTTCATTATTTCCTTATGTATTCTTCTTGACTACTTACCTCGCATTTATGTGTGCAGATCGTTGCTGTCAAGCAGCTGGACAGGAACGGAATTCATGGAAATAGGGAATTCCTAGCTGAGCTCTTGACTTTAAGTCTTGTTCACCACCCAAATCTTGTGAACCTAATTGGGTATTGTGCTGATGGGAATCAAAGACTTTTAGTGTACGAGTTTATGCACAACGGCTCTTTGCAAGATCATCTTTTCGGTATCCATGCATATTTTCATATGCTCCTTAACATGTCATATTAAGAGTAGTAACTCAAATCTTTATGTGTTGGTTTATGAATAGTATGCAGATAGTGTTGTAATGATAATGATATCTACTTCTCAGATTTGTCTCCAAATAAGAACCCTCTCAATTGGTATACGAGGATGCAAATAGCCAAAGGTGCTGCCCAAGGGCTAGAATACCTTCATGACACAGTTAATCCTCCAATTATCTATCGCGACTTCAAAACATCAAATGTGTTATTGGACAAGTCTTTCAATTCAAAGCTATCAGGTTTTGGCCTCGCGAAACTAAGTCCAAACGAAGAACAGGATCACGTGTTCACGAGGATAATGGGGACCTATGGGTATTGTGCGCCAGAGTACGCTAATGTTGGGGGACGACTTACAACCAAATCCGATGTTTACAGCTTTGGGGTTGTCTTACTAGAAATTATTTCGGGAAGGAGAGTTATTGATAATACTAGACAAAATGAGGAACAGAACCTTGTTTCTTGGGTTGGTCTTTGTTATAATTCATTTGTTGGTTCTATAATTTAAAATTGTCAGACCATAAGTCTTTGAAGTTTATTATTTTCCGTCACTTTTGCAGGCAAAACCACTTTTGAATGACAGAGAGAAATTCAAAATGTTGGCAGACCCTATGCTTGTGGGGAATTACCCAACAAAAGGCATGTACCAAGCTCTTGCAATTGCATCGATGTGTCTTCAAGATGAACCCAATACACGACCTTTGATTGCAGATGTTGTTAGTGCGCTTGAGTACTTGGCGACGCCCGACGAGGAATGGAATAGAACGACAGGAGTAGATGAAGCGGATTGCATACTCATTCAGAAAGGCAAAAGCACTTACACAACTATGTAATACGAAAAGGGATTGCTGGTTTAACTTTTGTGCGAAAGATAAACTAACAAACTAACTGATGAACTTCAAGACAGTTGTTCCAACACAAAATCCTATTATGTGAAAAATTGCAAGTAGAGAAAGCACATGTAGTGTGACTATAATGATTATAATATGAGTGTGAATTTACATTTTTCTTGCGTAGAGGTACTTCTTGACTTTGTTGTACTAAATATAAGAATATATACAACTAATCATTGCATTGAAAAAGCCCAAACATCACAACGAGTAAATATATGATGTAACAGACACTTTTCAGTTTAGAGAGTTAGGGTCAATCTCACACTCTAGTTAGCCATATCTTTGAGGCCAAGCGTTGGGCTTGGCTTTGATATATGGGTGTTTGGTATGTAAGATTTGATGGCATAGAAGGATATCAAAGTTATTTTTCGAAAACCATCTCACAGTTTTTTTTCCAACCTGCAAATTATGGATCCTGTTTTGAAGCTGTGAGCATCATCAAACAAGATCAGACACAAACACATCCAAAAACGACATTGAATTGATAATAGTATAAAAAACTGATGCTGACAATGTCTGAATCGGATGACATATAAAGAAATAAGAGAGAGCTTATAAGAGCAAAGTATTCAAATCTGGTTGGAATCAACCTTAAGATTCACATAACTAAACCTTGGGATTTCATTCAACATATGCCTATCAGCAGAGACATTATCCACCAGAGAGCAAACACCTAGAAGTAATCCTCCTCCACTTACCCTTCTCTTCTTCCTTTTCCATTTCAGCATCAAGAAAATCAAACGGGGCCATGAAGTATGAGTTTTAGACTTTGACGAGGTCGTTGACTCACTTGAGTGCTCTAATTTAGGCCTTGTGAAATGTTCCATTTCTCTGTCTAAGAGTGATCCTATCTTCCCCTGTGAGCCAACATCAACCGGACCATCTAGTATCCTTCTACTGGATCTGAAAAACATTTTCCTGTGTTTAAAGAAAAACTATGAAAGGATTCTTGTAGATGAGTGCTCTCTTTAGCTCCTAATGATGTGAGAAGTTAAAGGCGCGCTGATTTTCCTCATCAGGGAGACCATTATATTTTTTGAATGTATTGTGGGCTAAATGATTATGTAGATTCAATCAGAACCATTCTTCCTTGCGGCCAAAGTATCTTTTCCCCAATATAATGTGCTAAAATTCATCTTTCTTTTTGACTTTGTGTTTTGCACTTTTGCATCGTCATTGAACTTTCTATAGGACAATGATTTTAAAGACAATATATGGCTAAGAAAAAAATGCCACTTTTAATGTGTTGTGACTAATGATATTACACACAATATTGGTGATCATAGTGCTATTCATTTTTACACTGCAAAAATCACAATTATATTTTCAGTTATTACCGTAGCCATATCATTATTTATTTAGTAATGTTCGTGTACACGCCTGACGTGTACACCACTTTTTACACACCCACACAGACAATTAGTTTAAAAGTTCTAATTTTGATAACAAATTGTCTATGCACACAAATAACTAGGGATGAGTGTATAAAAATGTGTAAAATGGAGTGTCCTTATTTTTTCCTTATTTTTTGTTCATGAACTGCATTGCAGTAATATACTAATATTACAGAGAAAAAAATCAACACACACACACATTAGGCATGAACATAAAACACAATAAATCGACACTGCTGAAACTGAACAGACAAAACACGAACCAACTAAAATCGAAACCAATCAAAACCGATATAACCATGTTCAATTCTATTTACGGCTTATGATTTTAACTTTAAAACGGACTGAATTGACTAAAACGGCCAAAATCGATACAAACCGAACAAAAGTAACCAACCGAAAGTGACCTAAATTGACTCAAGGTGTATGATACGGTTAAAGGTTTCACCCTTTCCAAAAGAGACAGACGACAAACCAAATTGAAACAACCAAACCAACCAATCACCAATAATGATTTTGATTAACTAAATAAAACCCCTCTTCCTTCAGAATTGTAGCCTCTCAGCAGCTAAATCAAATATTTGTTCCAATTCTCGTTTGACTCCATCATCAGCAAAGATGAAGCCTATGGCATTCCTTGCCAGCTCAAACATCTCTTTTTTTCCTATACCTTTGTTTTGTCAAAACCAAAATCACACCAAGTCAGAAAATAAAGATATTATAATCCTATAAAAATAAACATTAATTTGGACATACACGTGCGTGGGGCGGGGCTTACCAAATGCAGAAGAGGCAATATCATATTCACGAGATGCGGTGGTAGAGAAAACACCACTGTCATCAGTACACAACACGATCGGGTGCTTAGAATAGTACAAATCAACTGCAAAGGAGTAATAATTAGCTAAAAAAAAATCCTCCCTATAAAGAAAGTATCATTAGATTATCTAACCGAAATGGTGAGCATCCAATGAAGAGATGGTTCCAGTTGTGATGTTGGACGTCAAACAAATTTCAACCTGAAAATCACACGAGACAATTTGAACTTATTATATCAATGTACTGAGGATATCAAGGAAAAAAGGAACTTTTTCTGGTTATAGAATATAAAGGGTATGCTTGTTTCCTGTAAAAAACTATAGATGAGGGAATTCTGCTAAAGATATATTCTTATGTTTGGTTATACCCAGGGAAATGCAAAGAAATTTAATTTTGTATTTTTTTTTCTTTTTTTAAGAACTGCATATATTCAGATTTCTTAGTATAATAGACACAAGTAAATAAAAAAAAGTATAACTAAATATTGAAAATAAATTATATGAATTTCAGTCCATCTTTTATTTTCTCCCACATTTTCTATCCTTCCAACTTTCATCTATGTTTCCCTTCCTGTTTCTGTTCCCTGATATTTCCTGAATTCCAATCTGACCATAAGAAAGCAAGGAATATGACAGTATCAACTATCAAGCATCATATGGATGCATCTGAAGAATGCATATTCACAAATGTGTGTACAATGTACACATATGTGGATGATAATCACAGACAAATGCTTGAGCAATCCAACCGGAATCTTAGAGGACTTCAGCTTTTTCCACTCCTCTTCTTTGAGGCAACAAGCATGGCCAATTCTTTCCGGTAGAAAATCTAGCATTTCATTGATTTCTTTGGGGTTTGGCACCTAAAAATGCACTAAGAGTGAAAAGGACAATCAGAAAAAACTCCTCAGATATGAGACCTGCAAGTCAAAGTTCAATTGGGAAGCTAAGCCAAACTCACCTCTCCACAGTGAAGAGTTATTAAGAGTCCCATTTCTTTAGCAAACTCCAGCGCTGGTAAAAACGTTTTCCTATGCATAAAAATACTGAGAAAGTTTATAGGGTTTTTTCCTATACTGTTACTACAAATAAAATAGAGCTCAGAGACGAAAATATGACTGCATTGCCACCACAGTCACCGCGATAATACTATCAATAGTAACTGCAGTGAAAAATTCAACATTATTGTGGTCACTGTGTATTGAAAGAAATATTTATTCATTATCTTTACTTTAGTCATATATTTTTCGTCATTTCGATTTAAAAACTGATAATAAAACTTACAAAATATAATTGTTAAGTTAGGCCTAAATTAGCTCAAAAGGGTTCTCGAAATGTTAGGTTTACCTCACCCTTACATACTAGACTGTAGAGGTTAAGTACTCAAGACACTCCCCTCAACCTAAGTCAGGTTGGACAATTGAAGGATGGTGAAATCGATCAAGACGGCGGCACCCCAACAGATAATAGTTACTTACCAAATTGGCCTCAACAACAATGCTTGTAAAGAATCTCCTACAAATAATAGTAACTTATGATAGAGACACGTGTGCAGCTAGCAAGAAGGATAGATACTATGGTCAAGTTTATTCTAGAAAGAATAAATAGTCTAGTGGTTTGTTAGTTACTTTCATTTAAATAATTGTAACTACTTTCAGTTAGTTGGGGGTCTAATAATAGAATAAGGAGGGAGAAGGAGAGCAGGCTGTTAGATCTCTGGACTGGGACTGGGAAGATTAGAGAAATAGTTTCTCTTCTCTTTGGGACTTGTTGTACGGTGAACCTCCATTAATGAAGTTTTACTGTTTCTGAAGCTCGTTTTACAGACAATTACTATTACATACATGCGCTACTCTATCATTGGTATCAGAGCGCGTTTGATCGCTGGATGACCATAACGCGCGCGAAAATGGAAAGTCGACTGACGGAAATGGAAAGGAGTCAGCGGGAGATGCAAGCAAGTATGGAAAGGAACCTGAGGGAGATGCAACTTAATTTGACGGCGAATTTGGCAAAAAGTATGGCAGCGATGCAAGCTTCTATGCAAGCAACGATGGAAGCTAATATAGCAGAGTTACAGAACAAACTATCAGCTCGATCGAGGAGTCACTCACATCGATCGAGTACTTCACATCGCATCACCGATATACAAGGAACGATGACAGTTCAGGAACTTCGGATGGTACATCTCATCCTACTGCTTCGTGACATGGTTGCGAACATCACCGAAGTCACAGGTATCACAATCCGGCAGGTCGGAAAATTGACATACCTATTTTTAATGGAGATGACGCTTTTGGATGTTAGTAAGGATGAATAGATACTTTCATCTGAACAATACTGAGGAAGAACACAAGATTGATGTGGCAGTTGTGGCGATGAAGGATCAGGCCTTGAGTTGGTTTCAATGGTGAGAGGGCCAAGCTCGCCATCAGAACTGGGAGAGTTTCACCAGAGATTTGACCAAACGATTTCAACCGGACTTGGTGCAAAATCCACTGGGACCATTGTTTAGTGTGAAACAGAAGGGAACAGTAACAGACTACATGGACAAATTTTAAGTAGCTATAGCCTCACAGGGACACTTGACTGAAGAAGTACTGAGAGGAGTGTTTCTAAATGGACTAAAACGTGACATAAGGGCTGAGTTAAAATTGTATCCTACAAGAACACTTGCTGAGATCATGGATACAGCTTCATTGATTGAAAACAAAAATAACGAAGCATCAATCATGAAGAGTAAAGATGAGGGAAGGAAGAAATGGCCAGGGAAATCCAACAGTGATCATCAGTTTCAAAATTGGAAGGATGTGAATAAATGGAAGAGTAATCCAAACACCTCTGCAATTTCTGGTAAGGGAACCAGTGAGAGTAAGTCTGTTGATGAGATGATTCAACCTAATCAGAAGAGGACTGGTCCCAGATTGTCTCAAAGTGAACTGTTAGAAAGAAGTAGGAAGGGGTTGTGCTTTAAATGTGGTGAGAATTGGAATAGGGGACATGTGTGTAAAATGAAGAACTACAAGATGATATTGGTAGAAAATTTAGAAGGTGAAAATGAGTCTGGAGAAGAGCTTATAGATTCTGAAGAGGAAAAAGATGCACACCAGCAACTCAAAATGATGCAGCTGTCAGTTTTGAGTAAAGAAGGCATTGCTTCTATGAAAACTTTCAAGGTGAGAGGAGTTCTGAAGTGGGCAGGTGGTGAGAATGTGGTAAATATTCTTACTGACAGTGGTGCTACCCACAATTTTATGGCACAGAGTTTGATTGATAGGTGGCAGATCCCTTTTACCCCTATTCAAGGGTATAAGGTACAAATTGGGAATGGAAATTTCATTCCTAATAAGGGAAAGTGTACTGGCCTGCAGTTAGAGGTACAAGGGACTATGATTCAGCAAACTTTTTACATGTTGGAGCTTGGTGGGACTGATATGGTTTTGGGATTGGAGTGGTTGACTGAACTGGGCAACATGGAGGTTAATTTCAAGAATCAGGTAATCAAATGAAGGAAACAAGGACAGATTTATATGATTAAGGGGGAATCAGCCTTGAACAATATGGAGGTTTCAATGAAAACCATGGCTCACATTTTACAGCAAACTAGGGATGGTTTCTTATTGTATTGTGAAGGAGAAAAGAATAACTTGGAACAGAAGGGAGAAGAAGAGGAATGGGAAGGAGTGGTGGCAGAATTTCCAGAAGTTTTCACAGCACAGTTGAAGTTTCCTCCAGCTAGGGGTTGTGATCATGCTATAAATATCAAGAAAGGGGCCAACATCCCAAATTTGAGACCTTACAGGTATTCTTTTGACCAAAAGAATGAGACAGAGAAAATCATTCATGAAATGCTGAAATCTGGAATAATCAAACATAGTAACAGTCCATATAGTAGTCATGTTCTTTAAGCTAAAAAGAAGGACGGGGGTTGGAGGTTTTGTGGGGATTATAGGGCCCTAAACAAAGTGACTGTGCCTGACAAATTTCCAATTCCAGTCATAGAAGAGCTTCTTGATGAATTGGGATTTGGGAGGAGCTAGAATCTTTTCAAAATTGGATTTAAAGTCAGGTTATCATCAGATCAGAATGAAGGATAGTGATACTCATAAGACTGCCTTCAGGACCCATGAAGGGCATTATGAGTATTTGGTCATGTCATTTGGGCTGACGAATGCTCCTTCAACGTTTCAGGCTTTAATGAATGAAGTTTTGAGACCATTTTTAAGAAAATTTGCCTTAGTGTTTTTTTGATGATATTCTAGTTTTCAGCAAAACTAGGGAAGAACATAAAGAACATTTAAGGCAGGTTTTGGAGGTTTTAAAAAAGAATGATTTGATGGCTAACTAGAAGAAGTGTTCCTTTGGTCAAGGGAAGTTGAATTATTTAGGCCATATCATTTTTGAAAAAGGAGTGGCAGCTGACCCTACCAAAATTGAGGCTATGAAGAATTGGGCTCTCCAAAGATCTGAAGGGGTTGAGGGGTTTCTTGGGCCTAACGAGGTATTACAGGAGGTTTGTGAAAATTTACAGTAGAATTGCTGCTCCACTCACAGTCCTTTTGAAGAAAGATGGTTTCAAATGGAATGAATCGGCCTACAAAGCTTTTGAAGATCTGAAAACTGCTATGATCTCTGTACCAGTTCTCAGGGTCCCAGATTTCAAGAAATTGTTTGTGGTAGAAACTGATGCCTCAGGGAAAGGTTTGGGGGCTGTTTTGATGCAAGAAGGAGGGCCAATTGCATATATGAGTAAAGAGCTGTCTCCTAAGCATTTAAATAAATCAGTCTATGAGAAAGAATTGATGGCCATTGTTTTTGCAATACAAAAATGGAGACCATACTTAATGGGAAGAAGTTTAGAAGTCAATACTGATCAAAGAAGCCTGAAATATTTAACTGAGCAGAAAATCATGGGGGAGGATCAACAGAAATGGATAGCAAAGCTTACGGGTTATAATTTCATCATTAAATATAAGCTCGAGTGTGAAAACAAGGCTGCAGATGCTCTTTCAAAAAGTTTCAATTTATCTGCCCTATCCATGGTGGGGTTCGAGATGGGGCTAAGAACAGAAGGTGGAATGCTAGATTGCGTTTTGGGACATGGAATGTTGGGTCTCTTACAGGCAAATCTTCCGAGGTAGTCGAGGTTATGAGCAGAAGGAATATCAGCATTATGTGTGTGCAAGAAACTAAATGGGTTGGTGAGAAAGCACGTGAGATTAATCCCGGAGGTTTTAAGTTGTGGTATTCGGGGAGAGATAAGACTAGAAATGGGGTAGGCATTATTGTGGCGCGTGACTATGTTGAGGATGTGGTAGAAGTCTTCAGGAAGAACGATCGCATCATGAGCATTAAATTGGTGATAAGAGGTGAGATTGTGTCTATGGTAAGTGCCTATGCACCACAAGTGGGATTGGATGCATCTACAACTCAACAGTTCTGGGAAGATCTTGAGGACGTGGTGCGACGAGTGCCAAGGGGAGAGAAGTTGATCATAGGAGGTGACCTCAACGGGCATGTGGGCTCGAGTCGTGATGGCTTTGAGAATATTCATGGCGGACATGGTTTTGGCACTAGGAATGAGGCGGGAAAGAACATTTTGGATTTCTCCTTGACGTATGAGTTGGCTATAATGAACACTTGATTTAAGAAAAGAGACTCTCACCTTGTAACCTATAAAAGTGGAGCTAATAGTACCCAAATTGACTACTTCTTAGTACAGACCACTTGGAGAACTAGCTACACTGATTGTAAGGTTATTCCAGGTGAGAGTGTTGTCACTCAGCATAGGATGCTTGTGCTTGACTTTCGAGGTAAGAACCATAGAAGACAAGTTAAACAACAAGTGGAGCCAAAGATAAAGTGGTGGAGGCTTGAGGGAGATCTTCAACAAAGCTTTACACACAAAATGGTCGGTGAAGATGTATGGCGTATTGATAATGAAACACATGTGGATGATGTGTGGTTATCAATGGAGTTGACCATTAACAAAGTGGCAAAGGAGGTACTTGGAGAATCTAAAGGATGCCGGCCACCTAAAAAGGAC